CCATACGGTGCTGAGATGGGAGCAGCTGCTGCTGGCTTTTCGTGGGCGGTGGTTTCATCCTGACCCTTAACGGTGCAACAGGCAAGTCACAGTGATGGTGATGGTCTTAGGCTTCAGGGAAGAGCAAATCTGTCCTGCTCTCTGTGTGTGTTTTAGATCAAGAGAGAGATTAAATAATTGACAGGGTAGGGAAAAGCCAATATTGGCTGCTCTGTTTGCACGTGGGAAGGGGAGATGCTGAAGTGGTTGCTGGCTTCTCCACATCTGCCCTGAGATGTGTGGTGACCCGTTGCTGGGTGTTGGTGGATTGATCTGGAAAATCAGATTTTAAATTGCAGTCTGTAAGCCTGCCCTTTGTGCTTTTCTGTGCGACAGCTACCTGCATTTCAACAACCTGGAAAGTCTGGAGCCGGAGACTTTTAGCGACCTGCCTAAACTTGAAAGGCTGTAAGTAAGGACGGGAGCTTTCTTGTGAGTAAGGGGGTGAGGAGAAGGGGAAAAAAAAAAATCCTTTTGTGCAACAGTGCCGGTAGCATGAAGTGTGGTCTTCAAAATGGAGGGAGAGGACAAAGAAGCTTCCTTGAAGAAGGAGATTTTACATACTTGCCAAGTAGGAGGGTTACTGAGAAAACGAAGGGAATTTCCCATGTTGTGTTACGTTCATGTTTCCACCTAAGTAGGGGTAAATCTGCAGAAAGTCCTACAGATAGCCAAGCCAACTGAAATTTTACTCTGACCATAAGGTCAACATGAGTCACTGTTGGGCAGTGTGTACAAGCAAAAGGGGGTGGAAAAGGAATAAAGTCAGAAGAAAGTCTAACAAGAAAAACACGCCTCCTTGAAAGCAGCTAGGAAACGAAGCCCTGTGTTTCCTGCTCGCCGGGATTGCTTCGAGTAGTAGCCACTAGGGCAAAGGATCATGTGGTGGTTCCCACTCCGTGGCGAAACCAACAGACCCTTCTATGCTGCATGGAGATGTGCCTTATATCCGTACGTGCTAGGCAAACAAAATTGTGGGATCCAGACACCCTTAGGAAAATTCAGACCTGGATCAGTACACCGTGGCTGATCTCAGTCGCTGTATTTGATCCAAAAAAAATTCTGGATTTAAATTTTAGAGGAAGGTTTGTGAGCATCCAAGCTGGACAACTAGGCAGAACTCACGTGTGTATGCAGTCATTTGCACACAAGCTGTGCTGCTTTTGTATTTCTTTCCAGTTCCACCATCTACTAAAATTGATTCCTATCTTTTATCAATGGTCTCTTTTGAGTTTTAGATGTAACCGACATAACTAAATTTCCCCGTCCATTATGGGAATGGAGAGCTAATTATCCCATTTTCATCCCCATTGATGCATTTTAGCGCAATTAGGATTTTTTTCCTGAGAACTGGGGAGCCTTATCTGTGTGCTAAGACTCTGGAAGTGAGACTTTGCCTCAGCTTTGTTCAGAGATAAGCCCAGCTTAGGCTGCTGTTGTCTGAATTAGATTTACTCATGGATCTGGGTTAATAACTACGCTGAGTCTAGGGCATGAGTTGTCTGGCGTACTCTGCAGCGGCTGCCCTTGTAAAATTGCCGTTATCTTCTGCGGGGCAGGGGGGAGAAAAGGTCCCTTCTAAACTGAGCTGACCCAGGCACAGAAAACGTAGGGTGGGTCCAGTCTGTGGGGATTTTGCGCCCTTTCTCCTCCCTTTGCAGAGCACGAAGCAGATGAACTTTAAGGTTCCAGTTTAAACCTGTTACATCAGGCCTTGAGTCACCGTTTCCAGTCCACACCCGCTCTCCACTTTGGTGTGTTGCGTTGCGCTCACAAATGAATGAAATCCCTGCAGCTCACGGAAACAAACGCAGCAAACTGAAAAAACCAAGCTCCATTTTGATGAGCAGCCTTTGTATTTAAGCTGAGTTTTGACCTGGGATGTTATCATCCGCCTAGTGCAAATACTGAATAATGTTTTGGCATGGGCTCTCCCATTGCAGATTCTTACACAACAACAAGATTTCCAGGATTCATCCAGGGACATTCTCTCAACTGGAATCCCTCAAACGGCTGTAAGTAAAAAACACTGCCTGCAAAGAGCAAGTGTTTTATCTTTGATCAGATGGCCAGGACCCGAGCAAAAATGTGCCTGGTTGGCAAAGCTTCTAGTTGTTGCACTTCTAAGGCCACTGCTAAGTTTATAAAACAGTTTTGGTTGGACATGAGAGCTCATTTAACCAGTTAGTAGTTTCTTCATGCTAGTGTCTAATTATAATCTAACTATAATCTTCTTACAGCTCCATAATATCACAGGAATGAATGTTCCTGGAAAGTCCCCACGATGGTTTGAACCCATAAAACATCCTTCAAAAATGTGGGAAGTCTGGGTCAAAGACATGACCCTGATCATGTTTTCAGATCAGTTTTCCTAACGTGGAAGGAAAAATCATGGTTGTAAAAGAAAAGGCTGTTTTCCTAGAGATTGAAAATACTCAGAGGGGGGCCAAGGTGCACAATTCTCCTCCCACGCCGGAATGCCCTGACGTGTTATACCCATGTAACCTGGCTGTCTCTTAAGCTCCCCCAGAGCTTTGCTTTGTTTGCCTTTTATGATCTCTGGAAATCGGTTCTATGATGCGTTTGGGGGGGGAAAAAAAGCAAAGACTAAAGAATTTTGGTGTTCTGCCACGATTTTAAACCACAATAAAATAATGTGTTTCTCACCTCAGCCCTCTGTGATTTCTGCAAGCAGGTAAAATGCTTCGCTTTTCTTTAACAGGGAATAACTTGTGAAATGCTGTCTGTATGTGTCAGAGAAGAAGGTGGGGTGTCTGTAAAATGCTCTATCATGGCCTTGTGTGAAATCTCACATTCTCAAATATCTGTCCCTGAAAACATCTGACCTTTCTTCTATGGCTTTTTTTTTTTTTCAATGGCCCAGACCCACCTACTATAAAACTGTCAGTGGGAAGGGAAGCATCAACTAATCCCCCTATAGCCTTTACTTATCCTTATGCGTAGCACTGCACATAGGAATGAAGTTGGTGGAGGGAAGAGCATGGGTGTGCTGGGAGGTCCCTGGTGCAACGTTCGGCATGGTTCAGGCGTACGTTGCAGTGATAAAAGTTCTTATAGTGGTGCAGAAATGCTACAGCCTCTAGCAGCTGGTCACAGAAAGAGATTGGTCCAATGCACGCTAAAACCAAAGGGGAGTTTTTTAGAGCTAAGAGTAAAAGAGAATGGAAATCTGTAGCAGAGGCAGCGTTACCTGCTTTTCTTACAGAATTCAGGGAAGGTTGAGATCTCCAACCTGGGGGAAAACCCAGTGTTTCAGTGCCTCTCTTTTCCTCAAATTAAGCCAAAAATGCGTGATCCAGTTTAACAGAATAATTTTCATTTGAAACTGGAATGGCTGGTGGGTAGTGTTAGTTTTGCAATAAAATCCTTCTGACTCGGTTAAACATCCAATTTAAACCTTGTGGGAATCTCAAATTTTCCTTTGCGATATAATCGAACGCAGGGCAAACCAGGCAAGCGATCCTTCTCTCCGAGGGACTGTTCCCCTCCTGTATCCTGGAGCAGGAGGCGGCAGTCGGAGGCTGGGGAATGAACTGCCTTTTCCTTCGCCTTGCAGGCGGCTGGACTCCAACGCCTTGCTTTGCGACTGCGACTTGCTGTGGCTGGCTGAGCTGCTGAAGACGTACGCGGAGCAGGGCAGTATCCAGACAGCCGCCACCTGCGAGGCTCCTCGGGAGCTGCACGGGCGCTCCATCGTCACCTTGACCGCCCAGGAGTTTAACTGCGGTGAGCGACGTCAAACTCCTCCACCGGCCACCCTCAAGCCTGTGGAGTTGGGCTTTGGTCTGGGAATTGCTTCTTCCATCCTTTTTCCTTCTTCTTCCCTGTCCTGGCATCCTGCTTTCTCCCTCCTTTTACTGGCGAAGTGGGAAAGTCCCAGTGGGATCACACAAGTTATCAGGATAACGCAGAGAAAGCTGACAGTCGCGTGAGGGTTGAAGGCAGCTCTGTTTTGGCTGGCGGGTGGCTGCTTGGCTTTTAGATAGAGTAGGGCCAGTAAAGGACCTGCTGCAACTAAACCAGCAACCAGAAGAAATGTCCTGCTCTGGGCTGAACAGAAGGGGAACACTGGGAGAGCTGCCATGGCTGGAAACACAACTGAAAATCTAAGCAAACACGTAGCAGATAGGTAGCTGAATGCTTCGTTTGCCTGTGGTAGCGTATTGCGTTAGTTAAGCCCTAATTCTTTAAATTTAGATAATTCCTCACTGAAAAATACCATTTTGAAACGAAAGGTTTTGTCCTGAAAAATTCCAATCTAAACGTTTCACATAGAAAAAGGCAAAACTCTGATTTTGAAGCGCAGGCATCGGCGGAGGAGGATGGCGCAAGTGTCGGCTCTGGTTCCCTGGTACTTCGCTGCTGGTAGAGTCAGTTGGAGATGTTCCCACTCGCCCGGGCCGGCTATTAGCATCCCTCCTGGACATGCCAGTCCAGCTGTGTGCGTGGCCATGCTGTCAGCTAGGCGTGTGAGATCAGCTGGATTTTGAAGAGCTCTCCCTTGAATTCAGCTTTTTCTCCTACGATTTTATTAAATTTTTTTTTTTTTGGATTCTTGACCATTTCACAGCTTAACGTAGGGTGCAGCCATGCAAAGAGCTGAATTGGCACAAATAGGTCTGTAACCTCAAGGGAGGGGGGGATAGGAAGGGTCTAGAGAAAGCAGCTGGGGACACATGGAGTGGGACCTGCTGCGAGTGGATGTGCCACACAACGAGCTGTCCCCAGCGCACACCCGGTGCCACGGTACAGCCGTTAATGTAAATTTGTTCTGGTTTAGGCATGGGCACACAGTGGGGTGTCTGTCAAATTAGCCAGAGCACCTGGTGGGAAGATTTTACTGGCATTAGGCTTTGATGCTGGTGTTGTGCCAGCTGGGAAGGACAAATGATGCATAATTCAGCGTAAAGCTCTCACGATGCAGGCAGCTGATATCTGAGTCAGTACGAAGCCTGCTGGCATCAAGTTAACCCACCGCTTTTCAGCAGGTGTGAGCCAGTGGAGCAAATCTGCGCTGGATCGGCACTTTGTGCCGTGGGGCTGTGGTGGGTTTCAGCCCACGCTGGCGATAAGTTGCTAAACCATTAACTTGCGGTCTGAGGAGTCCGGGCACTGACCTTCTGCTGGAGAAGGTGGCAGGTTCTCACTTAATCTTATGAATAATCCAGCTGGTTTTACTGGATCACTGGTGAGCGTGCAGACTGTTAGATGGGTGGGTATTCTGCTGAATCAAGCTCAAGTGCTCCAGACCATGTACATAAATTCCTTCCCATTTTAGCACATCCTTTAAATGTTTAGCTTGCTCAGTGCTTGAGTACACCTTAAAGTGAAGCACATAGTGAAAGGCTTGGCTGAATTAGGGACATAATGAAGAAAATCCGGTCGAAAGGGAGGCAGTGTGATTTGCAGAGAGCTGGCACTCCGTTCAGGTGGAGGAGGCAGTCGCTGAGAGCAGCAGGCTGCCAGGGACAGAAGAACAACCCAAGTGAGGATGCCACTGGCTTCTTCACTTATTTTGGGGGGAGACAGGGACCAACTCTTGGGGCAGCTATAGTGGACCAGTGTACAGCCAGGTCTGTTCTTTCTGCCTGGGGCTATGTGGGGAGCTGATCCTCTGCCCCGCAATGGCAATAGGAACAGCCACTTCAGTTCTCCAGGGCTTTTAGCGGGCTCAGATGAATGATCTGTGCCCTCCCTGACGTCATTTTTGGTGATGTTGGTGAGAAGTCCTGGGGGTGGATGCCACGATGCCCAGGGCTCTGCTGGTGCCTGCTTGCTCGGGGGCTGCCGGGTGGGCGTTGGGGGCTGCCGGGTGGGCGTTGCGTTACCCACCACGCTCCAGTTGGGCTGTAGGTGGTTTTGTGCTGCTCTAGACTGGGTTGTGTTAAAACGGTCTTTTGCAGAGAGGCCTCGCATAACCTCAGAACCCCACGATGTCGACGTCCTCTTGGGAAACACAGTTTATTTCACCTGCAGGGCAGAAGGCAACCCGAAGCCTGCGATTATTTGGCTGCATAACAAGTAAGTCATGCTCAATGAGCCCTGGGGTAGCAAAGGTTTTCAAGCACTGACTCTTCAGTGTCTGCCTGTAATTTAAAAAGCTGTTTCACGCAACATAAAAAAAAAAAAAAAAAAAAAAGATATTCCATGGGTTGTATTTACCTTCCTTTTAATAGCGTTCTGTAGTGACCACGTAATCCAAGTGGTGTTTTCATCTGCGTTTGAAATTTTTCATCTGCGTTTGTAATGGATTCCAAGAACTTACAACTTTCCCATAAACATACTCTGCAGGCCGAAAGCAATTGTCTTTTGATCAGAAAAAAAAAAAAAAAGAAATTAGTATTTCATGTTGCTCTAAGCCACCATGCTTGCCGTTTGTTAACTGCTGAAATGCTTCTAGTCTCTAGGTTTTTCTCATTACAGGCCTCGGGTGCTGGGAGAATGGCTTTTTTTCAAAGGGAAAAATCACTGTGCTCCACTGAAAGACAGACCTTGCAAAGCAGTGTATAGATCATCGTTCTATACAGCAACACTGAACAAATACACAGCTATCCTGGGTGCCAAAGTGTTTCTGGGAAATGCCACACAATAAAATATTCTGTGCTTAAGCAGTTGCCCACTGTAGAAGTGAAGTTACTCTGCTGCTTTACAAGCTTCTTGCCTGAATAGGGCTCGGTTATTAATAAAGATGATCAATGTATTCTCCTTCAGCGAACTCCCCACCAGGCAGAGTTTCAGCACAGAGCAAAAGTTTATGGCTGAGTTAAGTCCCCCTGGAAGGAAGGTTTTGTTAGGCAAACGCTGGCAGGCTCCCAAAGATAGCATTGTAAGAAGGGTAATGATAATAAACGTTACGCAAACGAGATAGGACTAGAGTGAGAAGACATCAGGGGAATTAAATAAATGCCCAGCAAGCATATTAGTTTGCATAGTGGATTCAGCCTTTGTCCTAGGGGGAGAGAGGTCCCTTCTCCCTTTTCAGTCATCTGCAGCCTTCCAAGATTCCTTCGTGCTGGGATGCAGCAGTGGGACCTTCTGCCGTGGGCTGGGATCCAGGAGTCACAGGTCGTTGTAGAAAGAAGGAAGATGTTTCACAGCTCTTGGGCTGGGTTGGAGTCCAAGCTGTGTTGGGGTCCCATGGTGACTTACTCAGAGCTTTTTGCCTGCCCGAGGCCTTTGAGCCCATTCAAATAGAAATGGCCGCACACGATAACAATGTTAATTCATTGTTATATTTGCACTTAGAACAAGCTTTCCAGGACTAGATGCCCTGACAATAGCAACGATGCTATTGTGTGGGAACAGTATGCTCTCCTGATGGGCTGTAAATGTCACATGTAATCAGTGGTGAGAGAAAAAGTAGCTCACCCAGGGAGTAAATCAGAGCTGGAGCTGGTTCAGTGCTGTAAATCATAACTCTTGCTATAAATTTCATGAAGTCTCAGAATAGCTCCAAGGAACACCAACTTGCTGCAACGCATGCAAAGCCCCACTGCTCCCCCAGCAGCTTGCGGGAAGACCACCAGTCTTTACTCCTTCCCGATTTTGCCTGTTTGCGGCTGTTTTTCAGTAACGAGATTGACATGAAAGACGACAACCGCCTGAACCTGTTGCAAGACGGTACCTTGATGATCCAGAATACCAAGGAGTCGGACAAAGGCGTCTACCAGTGCATGGCCAAGAACATAGCTGGGGAGGTCAAGACACAAGAAGTTGTGCTGCGCTATTTTGGCACCCCGTGTAAGTGAGCCTTGTGCACCCCTTGAAGGCCCAGCTCGGGTTGGGGCTGGGAGCAGAGCTAAGTCAGAGTCAGACCCAGCTTTGTATGTGCCAAGATGTTCTCGGTGTGCTGGCGAAGAGAGTGGCCAAGAGCGTAGCGTGGTCTGAGCTTTAGGGGATTCCTTCACGGGAGTGGGAAACTGGGGGTTTAGAGACTGGAGGTAATTTGGGGCTGGGGAAGGAGTTTGGAGGCTGGGGTGAATTCTGCAGCACAGAGGTATCAAGGGTGAGGGGGATGCAGGAGTGGGGATGCTCCAGCACTAAGTGACTGGGAGAGAGGAGGTGGTAGGAAGAAGTAGCGCTGGGGGAATTGCTCACAGCGAGGATTTGGAGGTCAGGGAAGAGCCAGGTGGCTGCTAGCTGGGTTGCACGAGGAGTCCAACCAATTTCTGCCCAGAACTGGGCAGGCAACAGAGCTTCTGGTTTCTGAAGCACTTGTTTCCTTCCAGCCAAGCCCACTTTTGTGATCCAGCCGCAGAACACTGAAGTGCTGATTGGGGAAAGCGTCACCTTGGAGTGTGGGGTCTCTGGGCACCCCCACCCTCGCATCAGCTGGACCCTGGGCACAGGCTCTCCTTTACCGCAGGATTCCCGTTTTGCTATCACCAGCTCTGGAGGACTCTTCATTCAGAACGTCACCTTCTCGGACCAGGGGCAGTACAACTGCAATGCCAGCAACACCGAGGGATCCATCCAGGCGACAGCAAGGATCATAGTGCAAGGTGAGGAGTCCCAGGCTGATGACGTTTCTGGGATACGGTGCCCAGTTCATGCCCTGTGACTGGTTCTGATCCCATGAACTGAAAATTAACCCGAGCTCGCTGCCTGAGTTTTTCCTGCTTTCCTCTCCAGATTCTCCCAGGTTTCTTCTCGTTCCCACTGATCAGACAGTAACTGAAGGACAAAGCGTGGATTTCCCCTGCTCTGCTGAGGGTCACCCTCCACCCGTGATTGCCTGGACGAGGGCAGGTACTGCCTCACTTGACTCATGGTTTCTTTCTCTCCCATGCCACCATCCGTGGGATGTGGGTGAGAAGAGCTGAGCTGATGGTCCAGGGCGATGACTTGCAGTGGTGACACAGCACAGAGGGTGATCAGCACAGGCCTAGTCACACTAGGAGGTACGTTGTAGATCACCAAGGATGCTGTTAAGCACTGAGGAGGGAGCCTCTTAGGTCTTTGATGCACTAGGTGGTGGTGTCAGAAGGAAGGAGCATGCTGGCTTTCATCAGCATGAAACCCATGGAAAGCCTCGAACTTCCTCCTGTGGTGGCTTCCTACCTGCTTTGACAAGGCAAGGTCTGGACGCTCCAAGTCAGTGGGTATCGCCACGTACCAGCTCTCTCTTCATTGTCATTGATTTGCTCCTCTTGGGGAGCGCGTTGCAGAAGAGCATCGTTCACCGCTGACACACCTCTGAGGTTTCTTTTAGCTCAGGAAAAGACACTTTGGGCCAACAGGTGGTGGTGAACTTTTAAAGTCTCAGATGATTGTTAGCGCTGGCTCCACTGAACTGATCCCATCCAACACTTTCTGGGACAGAAGCCAATAGCGCTTGGCCCAGAGGCCCTCCAACTTTTCCTTATGCTTCACAGGCCATAATTAATGGCTTAGTGCTGCGGAGAATTCGTGGCTATTGTATTCCAGCTTCCACAGCGATAGCCTTGACACAGAGTTAAGAATGACCAGCTGAAATTCTCCTCCACCAGCATGTTCTCCACCTCCTTTAACCTGCTTTCCTTCACGGCCCAGGTTTCAGAAGATACCTCTGAGGTGTGGAAAGGAGCACAGTGCCAAGAAGTAACGTTAATAACTGCTTTATAACCAGGTTTGCTGGGTCACTCAGCAATGCAAAGATCAACCAGGCTTTACAGCGCTTTCACAGAAGGCATGCTAAGAACAAGAGGAGGAGAAGTGATGGAGCATCGCTCGTTCTCAAAGCCACTTTTGACAGTGTGGGGAGGATTCAGATTCCTTTTGGTATTTGGGATGAATAAATAGAGCCCTTATTTGGAGGAAAATGATGGAGGAAAAAAAAAAAAGTTGTTGAACCGGGAAGTCCTCATAATTTTGTTTGGGTTTGGTAAAGCATTTTAATTTTGAACTTTTCTCCTTAAATAGAGGAAATATTGAAACAACACAGTTTCCAAACCAAAGAAAATCAAAACACCAAATTAAAAAAGACAATGCTAAATGTTTCCACTTATTTGATCAAACAGCCAGTTTGGATAATTGAAGACAGATTTGCTGTCCTTCAGGTGTCAGTAAATCTCCAGTTTGCACTAAGGAAAGTCTTATGAGGAAAGAAAAAGGGTGCCAGCTCCTTTCCAGTCGCTTAGATAAGACAACTCGGTCATGATCCTGGGTGTGGGGAGAGCAGCATCTTCCTTAGCAAAATGGAGATGGCATTTGAGGGTGGTTGATGTCACGTTGGGAAGGAAATGACATTTTTAGCTGCCACACAGATACCTCCAGTGACGGGAAGAGAAATCGCACGGACAACTAACAAATCGCACTGCTGCTTTGCCCAGGTGGGCCGCTGCCGAGTGACCGGAGGCACAGCATCCTCTCCACGGGCACCCTGCGGGTGATGAGGGTGGCTTTGCACGACCAAGGCCAGTACGAATGCCACGCCATCAGTGCCATCGGAGTGAGGACCCTCCCGGTACAGCTGTCGGTGACCCCCCGAGGTAAGCTGGTGGTGAGGCGGTGGGGAACGAGGGCTGGCAAACCTGTGTCGTTAATGGAACGTTGTGGTAAATAACACACGATCTGACAAGGCAGGGAATTGCCCCGTTTCCTATGGGATGGGATTTTGCTTTTGCCTGGGAGCAGATGTCTAGCCACGAGAGCTCCATCAGTTGGTGGGAAACTTAAAGAGGTTTTCCGAGTGCCAAGATTTGTAAATCGGAAGAAGCTGCTTCAGTTTTTCTTGAAAATTTATCTGGTAGTCTAGAAAAAGTGTAACTGTGGGAATGAAACTCATCTGGTGTGGCCAGGGAATGGGATGGTGTCGGTTGGCACCTGCAAATCTGACCAGTTTGAGTGAAAAATGGGGCCCTTTAATATGTTTGGGAGTTGTCATTAAGAAAGTGGGTTTGGTAACGGAAAAGAAACAAAGGATTTTTGTTGGATAGTTTACCAAAAAAATGTATTAATTAAATTCTTAGTAATCTTGGTTTTTTGCTATTTTTAAATTTTGGCTTTCCTACAGAATGAATTGTAATATTCTTTTTTAAAGGAAATATTCAGAAAAACAAAATGATGCCTTCTTAGGAAGATTTAACGCCGGCTCCAGATACATTTGTCTTAAAGGTTAGCTACCAGGTCATAGGTTCAACCTAAATTTTGGTAGTCTAAAATCCAGCCTCTGTAAAACACAAGTCACACAGAAATGCTTTCATATTGTTATTTTCTTTTTTCTTCCCATATAAATAATTGTTCTAAATAAGCAAACATCCCTGTTTGTGCACAAACATGGCAGAAGTTTACTAACGGTAGACTGAAGGGAAGGAAACTGTCTAGAAACATGGAATTAGTGATGCTTCAAGCACAGAATTCACCGAATATTTTAAGACCAGCGAGATCAATATAATTATTTAATCTGACCTGACTAACACTTGCCAGAGAGCCTCATCTGATAATTCCTGAATCAATTCTCGGTCCTTGTTTCAGCCAGAGCATCTTTTCTAGAAAGCCTTTGAATTCACAATTTTAAATGACAGAGAACCCAGCACGTTCCTCTGGAATTGCCCCAAGTAGAGACACACAGGACCAGAAAATAGTGACTATAAATTACAGAGGACCCAGTAGAGAGACAGAGAGCGTGGGTGAAGTGACAGCCCTTTGAAGAGCCCTTGCAGCAGCAGAAAGCGCCCAGCAGCTCTGGTTTGCCCATGCTGAGGTGTGTTGCACGTGGATTTCTGTATTTTCCTTGATGCATTTCCTGCAGTTGTGACTTTTTTTTTCCCCCCGTGTCGCACAGTGATTCCCGTGTTCCTTCATCCCCCTCAAGACGTGGTGGCAGAGACAGGCCAGGACGTTGCCATTACTTGCGCCGCCCAAGGAGATCCACGGCCCACCATAACCTGGGTCAAAGTAAGAGATGGTGTCGTGTGCTCGGCAGTCACTGGGAGGCAGGATGGCTCCTCCGTGGGGGCATTAAACAACTCCCTCGTTAAACGCCTCTCCCGGCTCAACTTGTTGAATCCGTTTGTGCGATACACATGGAAGAAATTGAGTTTGATGAAAATTTAAGGCTCCGCATTTCCACTGGTTTTTAATGATCTAAAAGAATGTTGCTCATTCTCAGGCTCGAAGCCTTGCAACACACATTCCTGTTTTCTCTTGTTCTTCCTTCCAAACAAGTCACTGGAAGCCAGTGACCTTCCAGGATGTTAGAAATGCTTGAGTGACTATTCCTGGAAAAAACTGAAAATGGAATTATTTTTTTTTTTCTAAATAGTTTGTCCTTATTTCCAGGATTCCCACTGGTGGAACTGGGTGATGCTGGTTAGCTCCAGCTTTGATGGGGCAAAGCCACGGTCCCTCACAATCACGCCGCAGCCTGGCTGCTCTTTTCAAGGATTTATTAGATAAAGCTCTTCAGACTTTTTCCTGCTGTGCCACAGTACATCATCTGTGGCCTTCACTGGGACCTGCCCTGCCTTTTAGCACAGTCAGGAACAGAACAAATTAGAGGGGAAAACGCTTGAACCTCAGTTACCCTGCAGGGGTCTCATGGGAGGTGACCTTGCAGCTTGCCTTGTGCTCCAGCCAGCAGTGGGATCAGAGGAGAAGAGCCTGGGAGGGCAGCAGAGTAAGAATTAGACTGGGGCAAGGCAGCAGAAGGATGTTAGGAAATGGGAGAATAAAAAAGTAAAACCTGAGCCAGGTTGAGAGGTGGGGTTTGAGCATGCTGCTGCTCACAGCTCTTTGATCAGCGATGCTGTCCAGAGCCAGCAAAAGCTGGCATCTGCTGTTCAAGGCCAGTAAAAATCCACCAGTTTCAGGTTGTCCCAAAACTGAAGACTTTTAGACTGACTTATGTGCCATGAAACCTCTGTGACAGCATCAGGGCACAGCACTTGGTCCAGCCAGCCTGTCTGTTAGAAGTGCAGAGAGATCCGCGGGGGTGTCTGTGCCCTGCAGTGGGTGCCTGGAGGTGGACCAGGGTGAAGGAGCTGAGCAAGGACTTCCTCGCAGGGGGTCCAGGCAGGAGCAGATGTCCTTGGATGGCTTTCTGGTTTCTCTGGAAGAGCAATGCTAACATCTGGTGGCCACTTTAGTTCATCGCATCCATCTGCGGGTTTGCTGAACAGGCGGAAGGCTGGGAGGGTGGGAAGCTCTCCGAACCCTGACCCGTTTTCTGCCTTTTGATGGTGCAACAGGAGGGTATCCAGATCACAGAGAGCGGCAAGTTCCACATCAGCCAAGATGGGACCCTTTCCATCCAAGACCTCGGCGTGGCTGACCAGGGCAGATACGAGTGCATAGCAAGAAACCCCTTTGGCTTCACCTCCAGCGCTATGCAGCTCACCATCACTGGTAGGGTATCTCCTGTGGTCCTCCTGAGTCTTCTCTTGCTGTCGTGTAAGGGCCATGCTGTGTTGACATCTGCGCTTTGAACAGATCACTCTGTTATTTCTTTAGCTTCTTTGCAGACGGGGCCCTCGCGGCCGCGATGGGAGTCGCTCAGCTGGGAAAGCCCACGCGCCTCCCAGTGCTCCCAGCTGGCTTCTCAGCTGAGCTGCCGTCGCTCCCTGTAAAGCCAAAGGTTTTGTCTGAAACCGCCCCCTCGGCGTGCGTGCAGTTACTGCCTTTGCTGGGAGGGAAAAACTTGTTCCAGTGTGCCAGCACGCTCACGAGTCATCGTCTGACCGTAACCCCGCACGCCAGGGGAGGGAGAAGGAGAGTAACAGAGTCGCTGCAAATACAGGGGTTTAGAGGTTTGCTCAGTCCCTTGGGGATGGGAAGGAAGCGTTAGGGAAGCTGTAATGACTGAAGGGGAGTAGTGCTCCTCTGCTAGGCAAACCAGAGGTCAGGAGTGGAAATTGTGCTTCTTGGAGGGTAAGGAAGAACAGACAAGGGAAAAAAAAATTTGAAGGCAAGCAGTAAGGTTAAAAATATAAGTAAAGGGCTGTTCCTCAAGCACACAGGAATAACCAGCATGGATAGCAAGTAGTTTATTAGATTAATTTAGTATCATTTTCTATACAGGGATTGTATGCAAGGAGCTGAGAATAATCTGAAATGTCTTTGTTGTTTGAAATTATTCCTGAGATACTTTCTGTGATTTATCCTTGATCATTATCTCATTTTCCAGCGGGCTATTGCATACACCGGTAGCCAAAAGGGAACTGGTTTGTTCAGCTTGACCAAGGCCCTGGCTTAAAAAATGCATTCAATTTTTAAGAATTCATTCATTTGCTTCTGAAACAATTTGAACAGCAGCTTTCTTTTTTGGTTTAAAAGGATGTATCTGATGTGTTAACGCTAAATTTGAACTGAATTAGAAGTGTTCCACAGATGGAAAACTAATATATCGGCAATACGTTCAAATGAATGTCATGACTTTTAGAAGTTTCCTTTTTGGCAAGTAAATACATTATTTTGGGTTAACCCACTGTGATTTTTTTGCATTTTCTTTTTTCAGTTCAGCCGCCAACCAAAACAGGCGTTTATTTGCAAAGCTGTACAGGAGCAAACTCTGAATAGGTGTTTGTCAGCCATGTCCTGAAAAAGTCACCTTCCTTTTCAGGCAGTTAATTTCTTCTTCAGAATATCTGTTTAAAAAACCAAATTCATGGTGTTTGTGTTGCAAATGAAAACGCAGTTGGACCTGCAGTGGCGTGACTACGGGGCTTGTACTGATGCACAAATTTTCTTGAGCTTGGAAGACAAGTTAATATCAAAGTAAATTTAGGATATTTTGTTCTTTCTGTTTGCTTTGGAAAGCCACGGATGTCGGTCGGAGCGGCGACACGTTTGTAGCCACATCGATACGGGAAGCCATCAGCAGCGTGGACCACGCCATCAATTCCACACGCACTGAGCTGTTCAGCAAGTAAGTGCGTGCGGCGCCCCAGTCGGGGACTTAAAGCGGAAAAGAGTTAAAAAAAGGCAATGAATGAAGCTTTCTCAAACCTCGTTTCGTCGTTGACGATCCGCCAAGGAAAGCTACAGGATGATTTCGAGCGTTGGAGGTTGAAGCTGCACCATGCAGATGTAACCATGTGATAGAGCTTCGTAACAGGCGTTTGGGATTCTGGAAAAATCTGATACACAAATGTCACCTCTGATGTCACGTGTGTTTTGCAACATACGTTTCGTCAGCTGGAGCTGGCTCCAGCGACAGTGCGTAGAAAAGGAAATGATCAGCATAGTCATGTTATAAATACAACTGACTTTGCATAGGGTGAACAGATTTAATAATAGTATAATAATTCTAACCGTTTCCTCAATGAAAAATGACTTCTGGAGTGAATGGTAATTCCGTCCTCTTCCACCTCAATATATGTTTTTATTGAAAAGAGAGAGAGTTTGTATTAAGCCCTAAACCTCAGCTGTTGAAAAGTGAAAAATAAATTACTATAGCAGAAAAAACAGATGCTGAGCAAATTAAATATGTGTATTTTCCTGGGGAGAAAATATCTTTTCTTTACTCATCTGCAATACGCAGGCAAATCACATCAGTCTTACGTGCTAGTTTTGGGAGTCACCTGCCAGACCAGGCTTAGAGCCTGACTCTTGCTGCCTGCAGAGTCTCATTGGTCTGAACAGAGTCTATTTATTTTAATGTTTCTGCATCACTGCTAATTCCTTGAAACAGGCGCCCCAAGACGCCCAATGACTTGCTGGCTCTCTTCCGTTACCCCCGGGACCCCTACACCATCGAAACAGCCAGGGCAGGTGAGATCTTTGAAAGGACCTTGCAGCTGATTCAGGAACACGTGCAACAAGGTCTAATCGTGGATATGAATGTCACAGGTAGGAGAGATTTTATTTCCCGTCTTAACTTTGTGCGTAGGATTAAATTAAAACAACAATGTGAGGGCATCCAGAAAGTTTAAAAAGTGCAACGGTGATACCAAAAGTCCAGATCAGTTTTGGGTATATGAAGAAATGTGTTGTCTGGGTTGCAGCTCTCTCTTACATCTCGTGGTTTTCATGACAGCCGGAAGGCTGGTCTTGCATTTACCGTTCCAACCCGGTACTCGGGAAAGCGTTTCACTTCCCCATTTTGCTAAAGATTTCTTGACCAGCTATGAAAGCCCTAATCTTTAAAAACATTTAGCCATCTAACTCACAAAGGAGTGTCTTCGTGGATCTGAATTTAGCTAATGTTTTTACTAACTCACAAAGGAGTGTCTTCGTGGATCTGAGGTTCAGTCCCTCAGCAGCATGGTCAGAGATGTTTCCTGCTCTCCAAGTGGCAACGAGAAAGCCACTGCAGACTCTGGCGTATTTGGGTGCTGCTGTATCAGAGGAAGGGGGATATCCCTCCTCTGTCTCTCTGCTACTTTGACTTCTTAGCTGCAAGCTCAGATGTGTTCCAGCCACTCAGGTTGCTTTTATCGAGGCAGGATAGCAGGCAACAAAGCGATGCAACACCAAAAATACTGAGTGAGGTCCAAGATTCCAACAGCTGGACTCCAAAACTTGCCAGCTGGGACTTCCTTTATATACAACAGACATACGCTGTTGTATACCTATACGTGTGAATCATCATGTAGCAGGCATGTACATTTGGGGCCTGTAAATATTTTTTCCTGTCTGGATGTGTTCCAGGGTGTGAGGAGTCTCTCTCCAGGCTGCAGGTCCTGTCTGGGCTGGTCGGACTGCCAGCCTCTCCTCCTCGTTGCCCTGTCAGCATCCGCACAGCGCAGCATTATTCAGGGCTTTCGCGTGGCGTAGTGCCCTGGCAGTCACCCACAGCTTCCCTGCTGCTCGTCACGTAGGGTTTGGATGGTTGATGGTGCTCGAGGTTGCAGTAATAACCCAGTGAGACGTAAAATAAACCTAGAATGGAGACCAAGACCACCCCTGCAGTTCGGTCTACCAGTCACAACATTTCTGGTTTCCACCTCTGTGCGGTTTATACTAAACTCTTTTCCCTTTCTTTTCTTCTTTGTGGGCCTGATATGATCCTGTGCTTCATTTGCCTTCCATAAATTATGGAGCCACACCACGATGAGAGACCTGGCCTTCCCCTGCCCGCTCTGACAGTCCCAGTAGCAGGTTTCACATGGAGCCCTTACACGGGATCGTAGGAACCGGATGGCTACAGCGGCCGTGGTCTGACCCGATGCTTTGCCTTTACCTTCACAGGCTATCGGTACAATGACTTGGTGTCCCCTCACTACCTGAACATGATTGCCAACCTCTCAGGCTGCTCTGCCCACCGCCGCACGCCAAACTGCTCGGATCTCTGCTTCCACAAGAAGTACAGGACCCACGACGGCTCTTGCAACAACCTCCAGCACCCAATGTGGGGTGCATCTCTCACGGCCTTCCAGAGGCTCCTCAAACCCGCCTACCAGAATGGATTTAACCTCCCCCGGGGGTTTTCCTTGGCAGAAGATGCCAGGGACCTGCCCCTTCCTCTACCTCGCCTTGTCTCCACCACCATGGTCGGAACGGAGACCATCACCCCCGATGACCAGTTCACGCACATGCTTATGCAGTGGGGCCAGTTTTTGGACCACGACATGGACCAGACGGTGGCAGCCATCAGCATGTCCCGCTTCTCGGATGGAGCACCCTGCAGCGAGGTGTGCAGCAACGACCCACCTTGCTTCTCCGTCATGGTCCCCGCCAACGACCCCCGCGTGAGGAACGGGCGTTGCATGTTCTTTGTCCGCTCGAGCCCTGTGTGCGGCAGCGGGATGACCTCCCTGCTGATGAACTCCGTCTACGCCAGGGAGCAGATCAACCACTTGACCTCTTACATCGACGCCTCCAATGTTTACGGCAGCACAGAGCAGGAATCGCGGGAGCTGCGGGATCTGGGCAGCCGAAAGGGGCTGCTGAAGCAAGGGCAAGTGGTGCGCAGCTCGGGGAAGCATCTCCTTCCCTTTGCTGTGGGGCCACCCACTGAATGCATGAGAGATGAGAACGAGAGCCCCGTGCCGTGCTTCCTGGCAGGAGACCACCGTGCCAATGAGCAGCTGGGTCTCACGGCCATGCACACGCTTTGGTTCAGGGAGCACAACCGCGTTGCCACGGAGCTGTCGGCCCTCAATCCCCACTGGGATGGAGACCTCCTGTATCACGAGGCACGGAAGATTGTGGGCGCCCAGATGCAGCATATCACCTATGCCCAGTGGCTCCCCAAGGTCCTTGGGGAAGCTGGGATGAAGATGCTTGGTGAGTACAAAGGCTACAACCCCAACGTCAATGCGGGGATTCTCAACGCCTTTGCCACTGCCGCCTTCCGCTTTGGGCACACCTTGATCAACCCCGTCTTGTACCGGCTGAACGAAACCTTCCAGCCCATCCGCCAAGGCCACATCCCCCTGCACAAGGCCTTCTTCTCCCCTTTCAGGATCACACAGGAGGGTGGGATTGACCCCCTCCTCCGTGGGCTGTTTGGGGTTCCTGGGAAAATGCGGGTTCCCTCCGAACTCCTCAACATGGAGCTGACAGAGAAACTCTTCTCCATGGCACACTCTGTCTCACTGGACTTGGCCGCTATCAACATCCAGAGGGGGCGAGACCATGGCATTCCACCTTACAATGACTTCAGGGTCTTCTGCAACCTCTCGTCTGCACAGGAGTTTGAGGACCTCAGAAATGAGATAAAGAACTTGGAGATCAGAGAAAAGCTCAGGAGGTACTGTAGCCTGGACTTGGAAACAACAAAATCACTGGAGATCAGTCAGTGATAAATCTCTGCTCCTCCCAGGACTCCCATCAAATAACCTTCCCAGATATTGCTGCCCACAGATGTTAAGATAGGGTATTAGCTGTGGTTTAAGAACGGGGTAAGACAAATGAGGTCTCTCCAAGCGATCAGTCTGGTTCTGAGTGGGATGTCATCAGGCACTGCTGTGGTGTAGTTTGGGAGCAGATTGAGCCTTGGAGCTATTTTCCAGTGAGACTAAACTGCATCCTATCTGCACTGGCTGCCTCTTTCCAAGGCAAGCCTTTATCCCATTGTCTCTTTTAGATAAGACCATTATAAATATTGTGCAGATGAGTTCCTTGCATCCAAGGAACGTCCTGTGATGGGATCAGTTTTATATTATCTCCACTCTTTGATAGTCTTTTAACTTTTTTTTTTTTAAATATTTGTTATCCTGCAGTTTATATGGAACTACCAAAAATATTGACCTATTCCCAGCACTGATGGTGGAGGATCTTGTCCCTGGTACCAGAGTTGGACCGACACTGATGTGCCTGTTAACGACACAGTTCAGAAGGCTGAGGGATGGAGACAGGTATGACCATCAAAGTCAACCTGAAGTCTTCAGTATTCTGTTTGGGGGATTTGCTCCTTACAGGGAAGAACAGAACCTGTAATTTTTCATTACTTCTTGTCTTACAAGACAGGAAGAGTCTTCTCTGTCCAGTGCATTGGCAGAAGGACTGGCCACAGTCACTGTCCATGTGTCCTTTCCTGTTGTAATGACTCTTATTTCACTGCAGGGCACTGGGCACCACTGAGGATGTGCCCAATGTCTCCTAGATGCTAGAAAACGTCCACAGGAGCTTCCTTCTAATTCCTATTTGCTGCTTGTGTGAATAAGACACATCCTTGCCTGGTGATGCGCTTGGGGCAGGAGCATTGTTCACCCCTGTCCTGACCTGCTGCAGCGAAGCTGTCTGCGCCTTGGGATTGCCCTGCAAGGGGCTGTACGTGCAGGTGACGGCACCCTGCAGCTCCAGCCAGCAGCTCGCGGGGGTTCACGGGTTCAGACGAGGGCAGTCTGTGTTCACAGCCGCCTGACGCCAGAATAAAAGCTCTTTTTGAGGGGTGTGGGTGCTGCCACACAGAGGTGGGGGAACACTTCTCCCTGTCCCAGCCTCACTCGCCATCCTCTTCTCCTGCTCCTGAGTCACGCTGTGTTTACAACCCGCTGCAGATTTTGGTATGAGAATCCTGGAGTCTTCACGCCAGCGCAGCTGACTCAGATCAGACAGACGTCCCTTGCTCGTGTCATCTGTGACAACAGCGACCACATCCAGCAGCTCCAGAGGGACGTCTTCCAGGTGGCATCGTACCCGCAGGGCATGGTCGGCTGCGAAGAGATCGCCGCGGTGGACCTCCGCTTGTGGCAGGACTGTTGTGAGGGTGAGGCAGGCGGCTGCTCTAGCATCCACCGGCGTGGGGTTGGCTCTGGGTGGCATTCAGCGCTCGCCGTCAGCTTATGCAAAATGCCAGGAGCTGGTTTCGTGCTGCACCATGAGAACCGTGTGTCAGCAAATGGATGCAAAGAGGGGAACAGAACAGAATGGAAGATAGGGAGGGAAGGGGAGGAAGATAG